TTTACTACTGGAGGCCAGAAGGCACCCAGCTCTCGGAAGCTGGGACCTTACCCGAAGTCACCTGCCTTCTCTGGCCCACGGCTCCCAGCCCTCAAAAGGAGGCTCGTCCCCGCGCCTCTGAGACCAACCGGGAGAGCTGGCGGGCGGAGAGGGGTGCCGGGGCGCCTCGCGGGGCCGGGTCCTGGACACCTTTCCCCATCGGCAGGCTCCCCATCGCAAGCCTCCGCGCGTGGGGCGCCTCTTTCAGGCCCCACCAGGGATTTTCACGCACGTGGTCCAGAAATCTCCGACGCGCGGACAGGCGTTCCTGTGGGCCGAGGCTGGCTGCCCGCAGAGCGCCAGAATGGCAGCCTCTAGAACACACCCCCCCCCCTAAAGTCGGGGAAACTGAGACTCAGTCTCAACCACGAATGCAAAGCCTCTCCTTCAGGGCCCAAAGCGGAGATTGTCTAATGCTAATTCACTGCCCATCTACTCGGACCGACTTTTCTCGCCGACGTTCACGTTTACTCTCACTCGAGTTGCTCATCATCTTCCATCTACTCATACTGTTGTTCTGATCAATAAACTCAACCGCGTCCAGAAGGAGACAGCCAGGTGATGGGAAAGCCTGTAGCATTCTGAAATGTGCACTCGCAGGTTTTCTCCAGACTCTGAGATGCAGCGATCGGACCTCATGGAAGACGCGTCCCCTTTGGAATTCAGGTGTTTGTTGTTTTGTTTTGCTTTTTAATTTTTAAAAAGCCGGATTGCGGATAACCTTTCAGGTTTAAAGAGAACGGTTCGGACGCCGGGAACCGCCTGGGTACTGTGGAGGCAGAGCGCCACCTAGCGGGCACCCCGCGGGCTGTGCCACGTTCGAATCTAGAAAAACACAAAAAAGATTGGTTTCACGGTCTGAGACCGCCCCCTCGCCCCCCACTCCTCCCGCAAGTCGGGGGACACTAGGGGTCAGGAAGGATCAGTTGTAAGATCGGGGTGTTTGCAGCCCTCCCCCCCCAATTCACGCTCCCGGGGACCTCTCGGGAGCCTCACCGTGGGAGGTTCTGCCGGTCCCTGATCAGTCCTTTCTGAGGAACTAGGGTCTTCCATCGCTTTGGACTAATTTCTTTTTTCTTTTTTAAGATTTACTTATTTATACTATCGGATAGTTTCACTAATAGAAGGAGCATAAAGGACCAGGGGGGTAAATAATATTAATGAACAACTACATACCAGAGACATTTTAAGGGGGTGGAGTGGAGAATGGGATTAAAAATGGGGGAAGGGGGGAGTGCACTGGACTGTGGTGATGGCAGGGGGATTTGGTGACAGGGAGCCAGCGGAGAGTACAACTGAGATGGGGAAAGGCTCAACATGACGTAAAAATAACCTCTTATAATATAAAATAATAATAATAAATCCAGAAAAAAGTTTTATTTGTGCATAGGCCAGAAGTGCAGGGGTGGCGAGAGCATTCACCAGAG